TGAGTGGCTGTGTCATAGTATATCAGAGATTCAGTTCGTAATTAATAATTGGCTGGACTGACCTCCTTGACACTCTGGTCAGGAGAGCATATGACTTCGGAGATCTTTAATTTTTCTCCACGTGGGTGGCATCTGTACTCTGGGGCAGGAGTAGATGTACCAATTGAATTCTCAATTTTTTGTGCAGTTGTTCCAGAGACTGCCCAGATTGTCACACCTGTCATCATCACCTCTTAGTTGTTTACTTTGGGCCCCACAGCCCCAAGTACAGATGTGTATGTACTGCCCACCTTCCTAAAAAAAGACAGTTTCCCAAGGTCCAGAAGCAACCCTTCATTTGCTCAGGTCCCTCCAGGGACCATAGGCTGGAATTGTGGCTGTTTTTTGGTGTGTTCTGGGGTAGTGACCAAGGAACCTGCTATATCATTGGTGGGAGGAAGGAGGCCAAGAAAGGTTCAAGAGCAATGGCAAAGTCCCAAGTCCTCACTCCCTTTAAGAAAGAGAGAAAATTGCAAGCAAGGAGTGTTTGAGAAAGATGACCCAGGCATTGTTGCTTAACGCTTAATTATAGGTCCAAGGGGTTGGGTCACCTAATGAGCCTTTGTTCACGTGTGCTGAAAAGCCTGCCTCTGAGCTGGCCTCTGACAAACTCCTGAGCACTCTCCTAGCCACCCTCTCGAAGCTCTGGTGACGGCAGTCTGCCTGCCCACCAACCATTTCGGCACCTGAGCCAGTAGGACCTCCAGGCCTTCAAAGCTGCAGGTACCAGCCAAGTGCCCCCTTTCTATAGGTGGTGTTGATGCTATTGGGTGTGCTGAACCAGGCTGAAGCAATGGACTCTTCCAGAAGGGCTTTCTGTTTTTTTAACCATCCTTGTCATTAACATTGTTTCTTAGTCAAGGTGGAATTTATAACTAGTGTGCTGCACCTTGTTTGGGACTGGGGGAGGAGTCCAACTGTATGGTGTCTTCTCTGAGTCAGCTCTTAGCTATTGTGTTACGAGCAAAATTTTGAAGGCAAGGCAAGATTGACTTCCACACCCGCTTCCTGCTCCTCCCTTCCTGCTCCTTCTTTCCTCAGATGCTATATTACTCCCGCATGAGCCAGTTTCTGGGCAACATTTTGAATATTAGTTATTTGCACCATAGTGTAAATAAGTTTACATGAGTCAGTCGGTGTCTTTGTATCTTAATTTGGGATTAAACTGCTGTTTCTATTGTTTAAAGCATTTAAGTCATCTGGGAAGATATAGGAGGAATTTGGAGATCAAGCAAAGTCCTTTATCTCTAAAATAATGTGTAGCTATGACGAGGAATTCAGGTACTATTTCCAGGTAGTAAGAATTTTTAAAAATGTGTATAGTCCCTTTTTCTCTTTGTCAGAAGACTGGATGTTTTCAGACATTTTGGATAGGCTTAAATGTAATTTTGAGCTGTTGACAAGAAAATCCAATGTTTCCAAAGATTTTATAAAGTGAATATCTCTGATATTTGAAAGAGCTTGCTAGAGACAGTGATGAAGGTTTTTACTTGTCGTGCAGCAAAGACTCTGGGTTCATGTAGGCAATTTGCACTTTGGGGGCCTTGTCTCAGTGCTGAGGCAGCCGCGGCAGTGTGTACAGAAGTGCTGAGAGTCTCCTGGGTTAGGAGAGCAGTTTGCTAATGGGTTGTAGATGTCAGCATTTGACTGGTTCATGTCAGAAGTCTGTGATCCCTCATCTAAAGGTCAAACTTATCTGGAGACACAAGGAAGTTGAGAAGTGGGGGGGTAGTGCCCCATTCTGTGCCTTTCGCTGGTTAATATGACCCCAGTCTGAGGCAGAGGAGGAGGGAGGGCAAGATGCTGAGAGTCCATGAAAATAGCATCCCTATGGTGACCATGTTGTCCCAAGGAAGCTCTGATTTACTTCCTGAATCCCTGAAGCTCACCATGACCCAGGATCCTGGCAGTCAGTTTCTAAGGACTCATTACCTTGTTGGTGACATGGGCTTTTTGGAAAATCAGCTTGTGTAATCAGCGGCTGGGAACAGCTCACCCCATGACCTGGGAACCTGACACCAGCTGAACACACTTGGAAGTCAGAGAGAGCAGGCCTCCCTGCTCGGCCTGACAAGGCAGTGTAACCAAAGCACCGAGAAGTCTTAAAGGAGTACATGGCTGTCCGTGTTCAGGCTCATCATGCTGAGATAGTGGTTTGGTTTGCCGACATTATTTCCCTCGTGCCAGACTCCAAATAGGTCTGATCTCCAGGAAATCCAGCTAGTTATATAGTTCGTGCATTGTTTTGACCACAGCCTGGGTTAATTACTCAGAATCTGTTCTTGCTAATCCTTCCTTCTCAAGCTCCACCCTCTTGTGTGTGTGTGTGTATGTGTGTGTCCGTCCCCCCACTAGTCTTAAGTACACACCGCCCCAGTGGACTTTGTTTGAGGATTCACGGGGTATTAATCCAGTCATCTTCCTCCAAGATGATTTCTTCCAGAAACTGCAAGGCCCTTTGTGTTGACAACAGCCAAATAAGAGGAATGCAGGAAGAGGGACATATAGCTATCCACCATAATCAAGACACCAAACAGAATTGCCCCCCCAAATTTCCCTGTGCCTGTTTGTAATCATACCCTCCCTTCTCCTCTATCTCCTGGCAGCCACTAATCTGATTTCTTTCCCAATGTTTTGCCTTTGCAAGAATGCCATATAAATGGCATCAGTCATAAAGTATGTAACCTTTTGAGTGGCTTCTTTCACTCAGCATAATTGCCTTGAGGTTCACCCTTGGCATTGTATTTGTCTGTGCTCCATTGCTTTTCATTGCTGAGTACCCCTGCCTTTTTATCCATATCTCTGCACTGATCTCTTCCACTGTGTCTGGGTATCTGGATATTTTTCTATCTGTCTCCTTGGTGGAGAGCCGAGATCCTCCAGGGCTGGACTGTGCCTTGTGTGCCTCCATCCCTAGAATGCGCATAGTAAGCACTTGATAAAAGTGCTGCTGGTCAGCTGTGTGTTGCTAGTGAAGACCCTTCATGCTCTGGGCCTTGCCGGAAGAGGTGACACGTATGCCTGGGCAGCAGGTGTTCCTTGCAGAAGGCTGGCTGAGCCTGGGTTCTGGCTCTCCCTAAGGTCCCTGCTCAGTCTCTGTGTTCAGCAGGTGACCTGGAGAGACACAGAGGGATGGGCATGCAGGCTTCTCATATACCATTCTCACCCTCAGTTTGGTGTTCGTGATGGGCAGGTGCCAGCACTTGTTGGGGGATTCCGTGTGGATCCCCTGAATTTCTGCTCTTTGGAGCTCTCTGTCATGAATTACTGGGTCTGACTGTCTCCTTCCTACCAGGCCTGATAAACCCTCTTTGGGCTTTGTTTGCACTGAGTCACTCTTGCTTTGGCTTGTTAGTTAAAAATAGGTGCTAGGCATCTCCATCCTGTGACCGGCCCTTCCCTCCTCAGGCTGAAGCTGGAGTGCTTATGTAAATATTTGGAGGAGCTTTTAGTTAGGAACATTTCCATTCCAGGATCTCCTTGCCTTGACTCCTGGGGTGGTAAAGGGGAGGTGGCAGTGGGAAGGTAAGAGCCGTCATGTGCTAGAAACACTCAGAGACCACAGGTTGTATGGGAGACGCTGGAGTTCAAGGTCATTCCTAGGAGCCAGCGGAAGTGGTTGGTCATTTGCTGTCATAAGTCATTTGGCTTAGCCCTAAAGGGTCAGCAGGACTTATTGGAAAAAGCACCAGGTTTGAAATCAGACTGACCAGGGTTCAGACTGCAGTTCCACTGCTTATTGTCCTGTGGCCTTAGACAAGCTACGTGATTCCTCTGAGCATCAGTTTCTCTTGTGTAAACAGGGACGATGTTATCCACTCTACCAGGCTGATTGTGAGAACTAAAAGTGATCGTGTGTGTAAAGCACGTAACAGGGCCCCTCGCATGTAGGTCCTCACATAGTGGTGGCCGCTACAACACCCGGCTCTAGTCTTGCTATCTACTTTTGCCAGCAAGCATTACAACTTTGCACTGGACACCTAAAGAAAGAAATAGATGTTCTGAAAGGACACAAGAGTGTCTAAATCCATGTCCAGATCTCTTGCCAGTGTGCTCACATCTCCTCAGTTTTGTTGGTCCTCAGCAACTACTGTATCCTTAAATCACCTCAACAGCTGCCCAAGTAGGGCTGGCAACTCAGGACTCATCAGCCAGGAGAAGACTGTAACCGAGCTTAAAATAGAGACAAGTCCCTTGACTGATACAGGGGCTACACAGGCCAGGTACGAGGGATGTCAGGCCAGGTGGCATCTGCACACCCAGTCTGAGCCGGACTCTGGGTAGCTGGAGGCTGCAAACCTGCCGACAAGGGGGACCCTGCCAGGCAAGCCAGGCTTTTCTCAGGTCCAGAAGCCCTGACGGTATGTGTCCTCAGCCCCTTGCCCCCCAGAGCTACCTGGCCAGAGGCTACTGACCATTTCTTGAGGAAGAAAGCCTGGGAGGATGTGGGGCTGGGGATGCGGGGTGATAGGGATCTGGTGTTAGCTGGCATTAAGACTTAGAGGAGTTGTCTGAATCTAGGAAGGACTAATTCTAGCCTTTGGTACAAGGGGATGGAGGGAGCCCACTGGGTGGCTTTTTTAAGGATGGAAAGTGAGGCAGTCCTGTCTAAGAGGCAGAATGGTAGGGTAGCTCAGAAAGAATAGGCTGTACTGTTTGATCTTGCTTCTCGTTAAGCTCCAAACCAGGTCACACTCCCTGTGTCTGAATGTAAGTGTCAGACGCTAACTAGAGACTGCCCACAGAGCAAGGCTCACATAGAAAGGTCAAGCCCTCCTGTCAAGGGAAGACACCCAGATAAGGCAACCTTGTGCCCAAAGCATAGTTTTTCTAATACTGTCCTCAAATTGTGTTTGTGACTACTTCCTTTTCCCCATGCAGGAGCTGCCATGGAGTCTGACCACTGCTGACCAGACAGCCACGGAGGGCTGAAGTTCTAAGCCTTTTTCCCAACCCAGGCAGGAGACACCCAGCCAAGAAAGGCACCATGGCTTCCACCAGCGCCGAGAGCCAGCTCCAGAGAATCATCCGAGATTTGCAAGGTATGGTTAGGTGGCTTGATGTACCAAGTTTCGTTTTGAGGGACTTGTGCTGTGCTCTTGCCATTCCCAATTGAAATTCAGCCCTTGCATCTTTGTTCACATTGGGAGTAATTGGAGCCCTCAGGTCAGATCATATTGAAGTATTTGGGGTTCAGATATGCACCCTATGCATAAGGCTGGGTGAGCTTGTCTGGCTCTCCTTCCAGAGCACTGTAAAGCCAGTTTGTAAGCAAAATCATATACCCCTCTCTGGGACGGGATCTTATTTCAATTTGTGTGTATGTGCTTTTTCAAGCTGCCTGCTAAGTATTTGGCTGAATCAGAGACCTCTGGGCTTTGATGAAGTTGGCTCCTTTGGGGAAGAATATTCTCCCTCCCACTGGGCAAGAAGGCCAGATACCTGTCGATCTTGTTTTGCTGCCTCACCTGGTCCTGGCTGGTGGACGGCCCCGTTGCCTGTGGTACACAACAGTTCTGGGCCTGCTGCCTCCTGGACTTCCCTGAGCACAGCATTGCCCAGTGAGAGAGACTGCCACTTGTAGCCCTTGTCTCAGTGGAGAAAGGCAAGGCAGGGGAAGATGCAGCTAAAGCTTAGTAGGCTTGGGAGAGATGGATTAGATTCAGTATTGGCTGCAAATTGCACGTTTCACTCTTTCAGATGATGTCCCAAGGGTTAGAATTTTTGTAAGTTTTCCATCCCCCACTGATCACTGGGGCTGGTCTTGTAAGCCTCTTTGGAACACCAGCACATTTGCTACAACACGATTTGAAGCTAACCACATCCTTCAAGCCTGCAGAGTCCATGGTGACACTTTCCTGACAGACTATTTAGGTCCAGGTTCTTTACTGCTTAGACACAAGGAGCAGTTATCTCTCATACCAAGGTCCATTGTTCTAGTATGGCCACAGTGTAATCCTCATTCTGAACGTCCGAAGTCAACGAGATAAAAATTACTTTCTCAGGCTTATTATGTTCTACTTATAGTGCTTTGAGTCTCTGAGAGCTAATAATTACATGGCATTTTGTGTGCACCAGGCATCGTCCTGCACATGTCTTATAGATAGTAGCTCATTTAGTCTTCACATTTAGTCCTGTGAGGTAGATACCATTATTATTCCCATTTTGCAGATGAGGAAACAGGCACAGAGAGGTTAAGTAACTTACCTAAGGTCACACAGAGCAGAGCCTGGGTTTGCATACCAACAGCCTCGCACCAGTCTATGCTCTTAATCACACTAGTCTACTTTCAGCTAAAATATTAGGTGCTTTTCTTAAAGAAAAAAAAGTGAAAAACTACACAGAGGGACAGAGAAAGTAAAATGACAATCCCTGAGTTTGCCACTGGCCTTTAGGCAGTGTTTTCGTGTTTCAACATCTGGTTATCAAGGATAACTTTGGGACCCAGAGGTCCTTTTAGGAGGGAAGAGAGAGAAAAAGAGGACTCTCGGGTAGCAGAGAGGACTGTCTACGCCGTGTACTGGCTAAATCTAGTCATACCTACATCCTGGGCTGGTCCCAATGTCCTGTGCGTAGCCCACAGAACACTTTGGTGGGAATTCTTAAAAGGCGCCACTTTCTAAAGACCTTTCACATTCATCTTCTGGTAAATGTCTTAATAAGCAGACAGATCTACACCATTACCATGAGAGTGGTGCATCCTTAGCTGAGGCATCCTTGTACAGTACAAAGCCCTCACACCTCTGCAGGGCAGCCCACTCATCCTCTTGGTGATAGTAGTTACAAGGACTTTGGCATGGGGTCAGCTCCTGGCTCCCCCTTTTAACCCTGTAAATGCTGGGCAAATCCCTTTTCCTGTCCAGTTTGCAGTTGCTTCCTTCGTGTGCCAGGTGGGTTTGGTGATAACACCCACTTTCAAGATTGTTGAGAGAATCAAATATGTAATGACTGTAAAGCTAATATTTTTTTTTTTTTTTTTTATATTCATCAAGGATATTGGCCTGTAGTTTTCTTTCTTGGTTATATCTTTATCTGGTTTTGGTATCAGGATGATGTTTGCTTCGTAGAATGTGTTTGGAAGCTTTGCTTCTGTTTCAATCTTTTGGAATAGTTTGTA